AAGAAGCTAAACAGAGATGTCTATAGAAAGCCAAAACATGCTGGCTTTATACCTAATTTTTTCTCCAATCATAGCTACAAATTAAAGGTTGGAGTTTTAAAATCTATGATATTCGTAGCATATAGACTAGCCGATATAGATCATTGTGACAATGAACTGAATCGGCTTAAAATAATTTTCCTTGAGAATAACTATCCCCTTGGTTTGATTGAAAATAACATTAGTTTAATAAAGAATAGCTGTTGGAATGGTGAATACGTAAGGAGAGATAAAGAGACCTTTTCTCATGTTTTGTCTTTACCCTCGTGCGTTCTTTCTAAAAGGATAGGTGAGCAAGTAAGGAAGTGGGGAAAAAAACTGTGTTCAGAGAAACTATGACACGTTCTTCAGTCATGCCTACTTTTTGAGAGAAAGTTGACCCATTATCCAGATCGGGTTGCAACAAAATAATCTGTTCATGTGGTCGCTTTTATGTTGGAGAGACTTGTCGTCTCATTCGACAAAGAGTGGCTGAACACAAAAGCGCCTGCAAAGGTTGTTGGGTTATAAATCGGAGCTTGCTGAGCACAGGGCAGAAACTAGACACGAGATTGAATGGTCTCAAACTTGACGTTTTACTGATTATGGTATGTTTGCGGCTAAACATAAAATAAGAGAAGCCATAGAAATAAACCGAATAGGAAATACCTTGAATGTAAGGAATACCGACAAGAAGATAAGTAAAAACTATTTGTGCTTGATTGATAGATTGAAGGATAGAGGGAGTTGAGCCGCCTGCAAAAAGGAGGCGGCGCAACTAGTCTTTTCTTATTTTGGTTCTAATGATAGTCAATTCTGTCTTTTTAACTCACTGTTTCTCTCTCGCATTGAGACTAAAAACCAAAAATAGGCTCATCAACAAAACCAAACGTGTCCAACCTTGCGCAATCTGAGTGATGATAAGAACTTAAAATTTAGAAAGGGGGAGATGGGGGTCATCAAACCTTGGTGGCAAAAACAGATGTTCCTTTTTGCTGTCCTAATTACTTTAAGCCATAACTTCGGGTTTCGTGCATAAGCGAACACTAACATGCACATACAAATACAGAGATAGCCATACTCACATGCATAGAAGTTGACATATGACCTTAAATAACCAAATCACCTTATACTCGATCAAATAGGCCAGATGTAGAGTATGTATATACCACTTTTTAGGGATACCGGTGAGTTTTCTTGACTCGTAAGCTTGAATTTTGTTGTGACGATGTTACCTCGCTCTGATGATGTCCGTCTATGGACGAAAGCTCAGCACGAGAATCGAAGGAGATTGCCTCGGAAACAGCGTCAGCATGAACCTTCCAGTAAAGACAATCGACAGCTGGTCAAGAGGAATTCGCCGTTGTCTTCTGGTGGAACCGACCTTCGAATCTCTTCACCC